TCATTATTTTAGCATGTTAATGTCATTAAGAATGTTATTTGTCCTTCCAAGTAACTTAAACTTGTTATTATTTAAGATTGTAATCTTTTTTATAATGTCCATTTAAATTAATTTTATTAAATAAACTTGTCATTTTAGGTTGTCATTATTTTAGCGTGTTGATGACATTTAGAAAGTCATTATATCTTGTTATAATTTTAACTATTCGTTATTTTAGCTTGTTGTCATTTTAAATTGTCATCATTTTAGCTTATTATTTGAGCTGGTAATCTTTTAGGATGTCCCCATTTATCTTGATATCACCAAATAAACTTCTCATTTTAGTTTGTCATTATTTTAGCATGTTAATGTCATTAAGAATGTTATTTGTCCTTCCAAGTAACTTAAGCTTGTTATTATTTAAGATTGTAATCTTTTAGAATGTCCATTTAAATTGATTTTATTAAATAAACTTGTCATTTTAGGTTGTCATTATTTTAGCATGTTGATGTCATTTAGAATGTCATTATATCTTGTTATAATTTTAACTTTTTGTCATTATAGCTGGTTTATTTAGGATGTCGTCATTTTAACTTTATTTTATTTAAGCTTGTCGTAATTTTAGGTTATCATTTAAATAGTCATCACTTAAGCTTGTCATTATATAAGCTTGTAATCCTTTAGGATATCCCCATTCATCTTGATGATTAAATTAACTTGTCATTTTAGGTTGTCATTATTTTAGCAAGTTTATGCGATTAAGAATGTCATTTTTTCTTGTCATCATTTTAAGTTTTCATCATATAAGCTTGTTGTCATTTTAAATTGTCATCATTTTAGCTTGCCACTATTTAAACTTGTAATCATTTAGAATGTCTTTATTTAATATTGTCTTCTTAGTTTATCCTTATTTAAGCTAGTCGTCATTTAGCATGTCCTCATTTTATCCTGTCATTATTTTAACTTGAATTTATTTTAGCTTGTCATCATTTAAAAAAGTCCTCATTTTAGCTTGTCATTATTTAAACTTGTAATCATTTAGAATGTCTTAATTTAAGATTGCCTTTTTAGCTTGTAGTCATTTGGGATGTAATCATTTTGAATGTCTTTATTTAAAATTGTCTTTTTAGCTTGTCCTTATTAAGGCTTGTAGTCATAAAGGATGTCATCATTTAATCTTGTCATTATTTTAAGTTGTATTTATCTTCATATCATTATATAAACTTATCATTTTAGGTTGCCATTATTTTAGTATGTTGATGTCCTTTAGAATGTCGTTATATCTTGTCATTTTAGCTTGTTGTCATTTTTAATTGTCATCATTTAAGCTTGCCCAAATCATTGCTGATTTCTAAAAAAAATCATAAATCTGGTATTTATGCAGGGTGTAACGTAAAACGTTTTAATATTGATTTTTCTTTCTAGCTTCACCAGTTCGAAGCTAAGAAACGCAGACCAGAAACCTCCATAGAGTCAGCTGCGAACACAATCTCGGAATATCTGCACCACGTGTCGGATTTTCTCGAAGATGTTGTCAGCATGTTCGACGATTACATGTACAGCGGTTCTCCGAACAAAAAGAAGAAAACCTCCTCGTGGGATTTGGACGGGATGTGGAGATACGCGAAAAATAACCTGCAGAAGGGTTTTGAGGTTGTCGAAGAGACGGTGTCGATGCTGAGAATGGCGCGCTCGACTATCGACGACGTGTCACCTATTTTACCCGACGTCACGATGACGCAATTCGTGGAAGCGTTGCTTATTAACGTGGTGCCGGAATTGATGAAGAAACCCGGCGAAGAAAGCGGAAAATCTTTTGGGGGTATAGCGAATAAAAATTAAACTTTTCTTGAGATGAGTAGACTGATTTATATATTTATTTATTTATGTTAGTTATGCATTAAAGTATCATGTATTAATTAATTTCATCAAAGGTTTTTAACATTATCCATTTACCGTACAGTACCATTAAATTTCTACTAAATGAAACATCTGTGCAATTTTCTTATTTCTTTCTTTGATTGAAAACAACCATAATTATTATTGTTAGGTGTGTTAATTGGAACCGTTTGTTAAGATGCATTTTTTAATTTTATAGTAGTACATAACAGTTTATCGTAGTATAAGTATTTCCGTTACCGTTAATAATATAAATATGTAGTATTGTTTTTCAAATATCAATTTTGTACATAGGTAACAAAAATTGTTTCCTTGGTAAATTAATAGACCTACTTATATTTAATCTATTACTCTTTTATGTTTGTTTTGTTTTAGATTAGCTGAAAAAAAATATTTTGCATGCAAATTTACAAAAACACGAGTGTTTTCCTATGTAAAAAATAAAAAAATCGGGCTAACGAAACTCAAATTTTTTATTACAGAAATATCAGTTTTTCAAAAAAGTTTTGTTTACCATGTTAAAAATATTAAAAAATAGATAAAAATACAAAAACTATGCCTCATAAATATTGGCATACATTTTGCTATAAGGTCAAATAAAATTTGTATGCATTTATGAAAAAAATTAATAATTTACTAAATTTTCGAAATGTTTCGAACTGTTTTTATTCTTTTTTTTTTGCGAGAATATATCTACACTTTTATTTTTAAATGTACTTATATTTAGTTAAGCTTTCCGTTATTTAAGCTGGTCCTTATTTTGATGTTGTTTTAGCTAGTCATTCTCCTAGCTTGCCGTCATTTTAGATGGTCCTCATTCAAGCTTGTCGTCTTTAAGGATGTCCTTTTTCATTTAGTCGACATTTTAGCATGCGTAATTTTAGATTGTCATTATTAAAGCTTTTTGTCATTTAGGATGTATTACATTGTCATCATTTTAACTGTTTGTAATATTAACTTGTTATTATTTAAGCTTGTCGTCTTTATGTATTGCCGTAATTTTAACTTTTCGTCAATTTACTTGTTTTCATTTTAAATGGTCATTACTTAAGCTTGTAATCATTTAGGATGTCCCCATTCGTCTTGATATGAATATATAAGCTTGTCATTTTAGGTTATCATTAGATGTCATTATACTATGTTATTATACTGTCATCATTTCAACTCTTCACCATATTAGCTTGCCCTGATTTTAGCTTGTTGTCATTTTATATTGTCATTATTAAAACTAAATAATCCTAATCATTTAGAATGTCTTGTTTATTTAAGCTTGTCATCATTTAGGATGTCCTCATTTTATCTTGATATCATTTTAACTTGTTTTCATTTTGTCTTGTCGTAATTTTAGCTTATCATTTAAATGGTCATCACTTAAGCTTGTTATTATTTAAGCTTGTAATATTTTAGGATATCCCCATTTATCTTGATATCATTATATAGATTATACATTATTGTTATTTTAGGTTGTCAATATTTTAGCATGTTAATTTTATCTTGTCATAAATATTTCGTAATTTTAGCTTGTCGTCATTTAGGATGTCCTTATTTTATCTTGCCATCATTTTAACTCGTTTTCATTTTGGCTTGTTATCATTTAAATGGTCATCACTTAAGCTTGTTATTATTTAAGCTTGTAATATTTTAGGATGTCCCCATTTATCTTGATATCATTATAAAACCTTGTCATTTAAGGTTGTCATTATTTTAGCATGTTTATGTCATTTAGAATGTTATTTTACCTTGTCTTTATTTTAACTTTTCGTCATTTTAAATTGTCATCATTTTAGCTTGCCATTATTTAAACTTGTAATCATTTAGAATGTCTTGTTTATTTAAGCTTGTCGTCATTTAGGATGTTCTCATTTTATCTTGATATCATTAAATAACCTTGTCATTTTAGCTTGTCATTATTTTAGCATGTTGATTTATAATGTCATCATTTTAACTTTTCGTCATTTTAGCTTCTTGTCATTTTAAATTGTCATCATTTTAGCTTGCCATTATTTAAACTTGTTAGAATGTCTTGTTTAGTTAAGCTTGTCCTTATTTAATCTTGTCGTCATTTAGGATTTCCTCATTCTATGTTGACCTCATTTTAACTTGTTTTTATTCTGGCTTGTCGTAATTTAAGCTTGCTATCATTTAAATGGTCATCACTTTGGCTTGTAATCTTTAAGGATGTTCCCATTTATCTTGATATCTATATATAAACTTTTTTAAAATTTTTAGGTTGTTATTATTTTAGCATGTTGATGTCATTTAGAATGTCATTTTATCTTGTCATCATTTTAAATTTTTGTAATTTTAACATGTTGCCATTTTAGCTTGCTATTATTTAAACTTGTAATTATTTAGAATGTCATAATTTTAGCTTGTTTATTTAAGCTTGTCATGTTAGCTTGTCCTTATTTAAGCTTGTCGTTATTTAGGATTTTATCTTGATATCATTTTAACTTATTTTCATTTTGGCTTGTCGTAATTTAGGCTTGTTATCATTTAAATGGTCATCACTTAAGCTTGTCATCATTTAAGCTTGTAATATTTTAGGATGTCCCCATTTATCTTGATATCATTATATAAATTTGTCATTTTATGTTGTCATTATTTGAGCATGTTGATGCCATTTAGAATGTCATTATATCTTGTCATAATTTTAACTTTTCGTCATTTTAGCTTGTCCTCATTTTAGCTGGTCATTATTTAAACTTGTAATCATTTGGGATGTCCTCTTATATTGATATTTATGTAACCTTGTCATTTTAGATTGTCATAAGGGCGATGGGTTATTTTAAAGTCTTTTTTAACTCTTGGGGCCAACAACAAACTATTTTTAGGGTTTAATGAATCATAAACACAAACTTTAGCTCCAAAGCAACACATTATACATTATTATACATTATAGATCAGGCGGAGAAAGCCCATATTTCTAGATTGTGTACGCTTGAAAAAAAAAAAGAATAATGTAATTAAAAATGGTGGCGTAGAGTCGTGGTTAAGCATCCGCTTCAAAACCGAGAGACCCTCAGTAAAAAACTTTTTAAATGATTTACTGTTCAACACGTTATTTAACATGCTATAAAATACTGAAAGAGTTCTGAAACGCAAACAATTCGGCGACTCACCTGCGGATTCTGATGCGCAGGCGCCCTCAACGGGGTGTGCTCCGTGCTGCTCCCTCTGTCCTCCGCCTCCAGGCACCAAGCGCTGATCGTCAGGAAGCCCGCCGTGGTCTGCGAGCGCGACATCAGCGGTATCCTCAGCCTGGAGGAGTCCTGCACGGCGCCCAGCAGGACGCAGGCGGCGCCGAGAGGCAGCGCCGTTTCCGACACGCGCTCTCTGACGTCGAAAACGGTGAAGCGCACGCGCGAGTCGCCGGACAGGCCGTCCGACGAGCGGAACGACACCGTGCAGAGGAAACCTGGGTTGCTGCATTTCTGGGAGAAAACGGGACGTCAGTTTATAATTTTTATTGGACATGAATAGCTCAAATTTTTTGCCTTCATTTTAAAAACCAAAGTTTTTGATATTCTATTTATGGAGCAGCAATGACAGTCTTAATATTTATTTAATGTCTATTTGGTTTTATTTTTAAGTTATTGTAAACTTGGTAATTCTACTTAGCATAATTGTTTTTTTGTTGTTGTTATATACAGGGTGTTATGTAATTAATGTTATATATTAAAATGGGTTGTTCCTTAGGGTCCATAAAGAAGCACCTGAAACTTTTTTTTTCTAAATTCCAAAGTCTAAAAATAATTTATAATAACCTTTATCCTACCAAAAAGTACGCCACTGATCGACTAGGAACTTTAGGTTAATCTGGTGGATTTATTATGTTATGGTTGGTAACAACAGTTTTTCCAAAATCTCTCAAAAAACATTGTTTAAATTTAGCTTAATTACAAAAATGACAAAATTAACAATGCAAATTGTCAATTTGGCGTTTTTATTAATTGTTGGTTATTTCATTTTTGTACTGAAGGTAAATTCAAACAAAATCTGACAACTTTTATGACAGAATCTAGTGCATTTCTTTTAAATTTTAGGTTATGTTTTCAAATTGTAAATATCTTAACTAAGGGAAGTGCTTTTGGATTTATTTACACAAATTAAATGTTTAAAGTTTAACCTGTGAACTGGTCCCAATTTCATCTGAGTAAACAGAGAAAAAACTGATGAAAAAATTAATTTTGTGGTAATGGATTTCAAATTTCAAAGGTACTAAATTTTCTAATCATTGCTTAAGCTAATAGCTGGATCAGTAAATAAATACAGAAGGGTATTAGAGCTTTAAGGGCATAAAACTTTTGTATTTATTGAGTTTTTATTTATTTTTTGCAAGAAAAATTTTTATTAACAATTTTTTACATCTGGCAACGCATAGCTACTTTGTTGGTTGGTATCTATGTACTCACAAAATACAGGTGTGCAGAGATAAACAAGTGTGTAACCAGTGGCGTATCACAAAAAATATAAAAAACTTCTAATGCATATTTTTTCTTTATCTTTGGAAAAATGCTTTTTAAAATATTTTTCCTTTATTCCTTATGTCAAAAGGTATTCAGTATTTTAATATATAACATTAATTACATAACACCCTGTATAGCCATTATTTTAATAATATTGTATCCGGTATAGCTGGCATTTTTTGATTGAATGTAAGAATAAATTTTTACATTTTTAATGTTTAAATTCAAATTCCGCCATTTGGAATAGTGTATTTTCATATTTCAATAAAGACGTTTATTAATATTATTATTATTTAAGCTTCTTGTTTTTATAACCTGTCGCCATTTTGGGAATCATCATTTCAGCTTGTCAGCAATTAAGCTTAATGTCGTTTAACTCCGTTTTGATTGTTGTGATTTAAGATTGTACCCATTTAAAATTGGTACCATTTTAGCTTTTCGTCATTTAAACTTGCCTTTATTATAGTTTGGCTTATTTAAGCTTGTTGTCTTTATAACTTGTCATCATATTGGGATTCATCATTTTAGCTTGTCAGCATTTAAGCTTGTAGCCATTTTAGATTGCCATCTTTTACTTGATGCTTACCTCATTTGAGCTTATCGTAATTTTACCTTGTCATCATTTTGCCTCTATTTCAGTATGTCATTATTTAAGCTTCTTGTCTTTATAACATCATATTGGGATTCATCATTTTAGCTTGTCAGCATTTAAGCTTAATGTCATTTAAGGGGTCATCCATTAATTACGTGAGGCAATTTTGGCGATTTTTTTACTCCCCCCCACCCCTTGGTGAGATGTAGTGAGATTATGCTCGACCCCCTCACCCCTCCCTTAATCTCACGTGAGATTTTTTTAAATGCATGGTTTTAATGTAAATAAGTTAATCTGTGATTGATTCCATTAGATTTATAAAAAAAAACAATTGTTATAATTGTTTACTTAATTTAACCCAGTTTTCTCGCAATGTTACACTGTTTCATTCGAAAAGAAAAAATTACGTGATATTTGCCGAGACCACCCTCCTCCCCACGTGAGATTGGGTGAGGTTTGGCTCGACCCCCCCCTAAACACCTCACGTAATTAATGGATGCCACCTAACTAATTTTAGATTGTCATCGTTTAAGATTGCCTAAATTTTAGTTTTTCATTATTTAAGCTTGTTGTCTTTATAACTTGTCATTTTGGGAATTATCATTTAACTTGTCAGGCTAACTTATTTTAGATTGTTGTTATTTAAGCTTGTACCCATTTCAAATTGTTACCATTTTAGATTGTCATCATTTTATCTTGCTTGCTTGCTATTATAGCTTACCTTATTTAGACTTGTCGTAATATTAGTTTGTCATTATTTGAGATTCCTGTGTTTAAAACTTGTCGTCATTTTAGAAATTATCATTTTAGCTTGTGAGCATTTAAGCTTAATGCCATTTAACTCGTTTTAGATTGTTGTCATTTAAGATTGTACCCATTTTAAATTGTTACCATTTTAGCTTGTCGTCTTTTAAGCCTGTAGCCATTTTAATTGTCCTTATTTTACTTGATGCTATTATAGCTTACCTAATTTAGACTTGTCGTAATTTTAGTTTGTGTCATTATTTAAGCTTCTTATCTTTAAAACTTGTCATCAACTTGGGAAGCATCTCTTTAGATTGTCAGAATTTAAGCTTAATGTCACTTAATTCGTTTTATATTGTTGTCATTTAGCTTGTTCTCATTTTAAATTGTTACCATTTTAGCTTGTCGTCATTTAAGTCTGTAGCCATTTTAGATTGTCAACATTTTACCTGATGCTGTTACAGCTTACCTAATTTGAGCTTGTCATCATTTAAGCCTGCCTTTATTTCATTTTGTCATTATTTAAGCTTCTTGTCTTTATAACTTGTCGTCATTTTGGGAGTCATCATTTTAACTTAATAGCATTTAAGCTAAATGTCATTTAACTTGTTTTAGATTGTTTAGATTGTTGTCATTTAACCTTTTACCCATTTTAAATTGTTACCATTTTAGCTTGTCGTTATTAAGACTTGTAGCCATTTAAGATTGTCCTCATTTTTCTTGATGCTATTATAGCTTACCTCATTTGAGCTTATCGTAATTTTAGCTTGCCTTTATTTTAGATTTTCATTATTTAAGCTTATGGTCTTTATACCTTGTCGTCATTTTGGGAATCATTATTTAAGCTTTATGTCATTTAACTCATTTTAGATTGTTGTCATTTAAGCTTGTGCCCATTTTAAATTGTTAACATGTCAGCTTGCCATCTTTAGGCTTGCCTTTATTTAAGCTTAATGTCATTTAACTCGTTTTAGCTTGTCGTCATTAAGGCTTGTAGTAATTTTAGATTGTCATCATTTCAGCTTGATGGGATTATAGCTTACCTCATTTAAGCTTGTCGTGATTTTATTTTGTCATTATAGCTTGTCGTCATTTTAGTTTATCGCATTTGTAATAACCAATGTAAACATTTTTTATTTTATTTTTAATGCATAAAACAAAATAATGATTCATCTCATTATACCGCTAGATTAGAAATGATGATTCATATGATTTACGGTCATTAAATTATGCAGCAAATTTAAACAGCACATTAAAAAAACCTTAACGCATGAATAAATGCGCAAATTAAAAGGAAATATCAACTCACCTCGACAATTTCCGTTCTACCATACAAGACCCAAATTTTACTGGTCGGCATGTAAACATGCACCACCAACGTTGGATTGGGCGGCATACCGTGGCCATCGCAAAGCAAATTGTCGCAGGAGAAAGACACTTCACATAGTGGAACTTCGGTTATATCTAAAAAAATCAACCCAATAAAAAAATTACCCACTTTTTATTCTTTACGCACCGAAAACATGAGCTTGCTGCAGCCTCCAGGTGTGCAAATCCACGTTTGGTTTGTGGTTCCTTCTTCTTTCCAAGCATTGCCTCAAGGCGTTCAATTCGGCCCTTACGCCTTCGTAACTTGCCGTTCTTATCGTGTCCATCCAGCTTGAGCGTTCCACATCTGAAGTGGACGCCAGGGCTTGGCATAGGCCACCATCAAAAACTATGTACGTAAATATAAGACAAATAAATAGGAGACAATCTTTTAAATCGTCATTTTAATACACTCACAGGCAAAATAATCGATCCCCACAAATTTTCGATGAATTTCAATCGCAAATAACTTTTTTATTTGATGTCGGATTTAAACGAATATTAAAGAATATTGTAGATAAATTAATGGACAATCGCTCACATTTTAAAAAATTACTAAAAAATTAGAGGTACGTTTATAATATACAGGTTTAAACAAAAAGATGTTTTTTACCATAAGTTTAAGACACTAGACACTAGAGTGGCAAAACCGTAGATTGTTCTAAATTAAGTTTTATTTATCAAGTCACATCTATTCTTAACAGTTTTGTTTTTGGTTCACCTCGATATATTTATTTTTGTGGAAAATATGGATTTTTTAAAAAAACATTGCAATTTCCAATATTTTTCTGTATGAAGAACTAAGATTGCTATGGTCCATCCATAGGCTATGGAGAATGACAGTGACAGTTTTGTTGAATCATCCCATACTTGGACATGTCATACACGGCTTTCAAAAGCTATCAAATTGTTTTTGCAAATTAATGTTTAAATTTTGAGGTGTCTTCTTATTTTAAAAAATGGATATGTCTCCGACTGATGTTGCCAGAGCCATTAATTTAATCCAGGATGGACGGTCACTGTATTACGTGGCAAGTGTTTTAAACGTCATAAGAAGTAAAGTACAAAGGGCAACATCAGTCGAAGACATTTTTAAAAGTAAGAAGACACCTCAAAATTAACAAATTAATTTACAAAAAACAATTTAATAGCTTTTGAAAGCTTTATATGACTTGTCCAAGTATGGGATGATTTAACAAAACTGTCACTGTCATCCTCCATAGGCTATGGATAGACCATAGCAACCTTAGTTCTTCATACAGGAAAAATATTGGAAATTGCAATGTTTTTTAAAAAAATCCATATTTTCCACAAAAATAAATATATCAAGGTGAACCAAAAACAAAACTGTAAAAAATAGATGTGACTTGATAATTAAGACTTAATTTAGAACAATATACGGTTTTGCTACTCTACAGAGTGTCTTAAACTTATGGTAAAAAACATCTTTTTGTTTAAACCTGTATATTATAAACGTACGTGTATTTTTTAGAAATTTTTAAAATGTAAGCGATTCTTCATTATTGTATCTACAATATTCTTTAATATTTGTTTAAATCCGAAATCAAATAAAAAAGTTATTTGCGATTGAAATTCATCGAAAATTTGTGTGGTTCGATTATTTTGCCTGTGAGTGTATGTCGTTATTTTAGTTCATTAATTTTTGATTTAATTTGTGTTTTAAAAGAAAAGTAAACTAATATAAAAGTTATAAAAAATCAAACATCATAAAGATTAGTACATGTAGATATTTAACTATACTTATTTATACCTGAAGGTCAAATAAAATTTGTATGTATCTATAAAAATTTATATGCAAAAAAATGAATCTTCTGTTGATAATATATTTTAAAATAAATAGGTAGACAAAATGTTAGCCTTTAATTTTTTTTATTTGTGAAAATTTAACTAGACTTATTTTTTTACATAGACCTACAATTAGTTAAGCTTTTAGTCGTTATCTAGTTGTCGTAATTTAGGACCTAATTCCATCTTGTCATCATTTTAGTTTCATTATTTTATCTTCTTGACAATTTAACTTTTCGTCATTTAAGCTTGTTGTCATTCTATCTTATTGACATAATAACTTTTTGTCATTATTTTAGCTGGTTATTGTTTAAACTCGTCATTTAGGATGTTTCATTTTATCTTGTAGTCATTTAATCTTGTAATTTTAGCTTGTCGTCTTTTAGGATGTCTTTATTATATCTTGTTTACATTTCAACTATTTGTCATTTTATCTTGCCGTTCCTTAAGCGTGTTGTCATTTTAGATTGAAATCATTTGGGATGTCCCTATTAAATCTTGTTGACATTTTAGCTTGACGTAATTTTACCGTGTTGTCTTTTTAGATTGTCATTATTTTAGCTTGTTATCTTTAAAACTCGTCGTCATTTAGAATGTCTCATTTTATATCATTTTAAGTTGTTGACATTTAAGCTTGTAATTTTAGCTTGACATTATTATGCTTTTTGTCATTTAGGATGTCCTCATTTTATCTTGTTGACACTTTAGCTTGTCGTAATATTAGCGTGTTGTCTTTTTATATTGTCATTATTTTAGCTTGTTATCGTTTAAACTTGTCGTCATTTAGAATGTCTCATTTTATATCATTTTAAATTGTTGACATTTAAGCTTGTAAATTTAACTTGTCGTCTTTTAGGATGTCCCCATATAGCTTGTTAAGCTTGTAAGCGTGTTGTCATTTAAGCTTGTTATGATTTAGGATGTCCTAATTTTATTTTTTGTCATTTTAGCCTGTCGTAATTTCAGCGTGTTGTTTTTTTATAAACTTGTTTTCATTTAAGCTGGTAATTTTAGTTTAACATTATTTAAGCTTGTCGTCTTTTAGGATGTCCTCATTATATCTTAGGATGTCCTAATTTTATTTTTTTGTCATTTTAGCCTGTCGTAATTTCAGCGTGTTGTTTTTTTATATTGTCATTATAAATAAATATATTTTAGCTTGTCATTAACTTGTCATTTTGTCTTCTTTAAACTTGTTTTCATTTAAGCTTGTAATTTTAGCTTAACATTATTTAAGCTTGTCGTCTTTTAGGATGTCCTCATTATATCTAATTTACATTTTAACTATTTGCCATTTTATCTTACGTTACTTAAGCGTGTTGTCATTTTAGATTGTCATCATTCGGGATGTCCCTATTAAATCTTGACATTTTAACTTATTGTCATTTTAGGGGGTTGTATATTTAGATTGTCATTTTTTTTAGCTTGTTATTATTTAAACTTGTCGACATTAAGGTTTTCACATTTTATCTTGTCATTTAAGCTTGTAATTTTAGCTTGTCATCTTTTAGGATGTCCTTATTATATCTTGTTTACATTTTATCTATTTGTTATTTTAGCTTGTCTTTACTTAAGCTTGTCGTCATTTAAGCTTGTCTTCATTTGAGATGTCATCATTTTATCTTGTTGACATTTTATTTTTTTGTCATTTAAACTTGTCGTAATTTTAATGTGTTGTCTTTTTAGATTGTCCTCATTTTATCCTGTTCATATTTTAACTATTTGTCATTTTATCTTGTCGTTATTTAAGCATGTTGTCATTTAAGCTTGTCGTCATTTTATCTTGATGACATTTTAGTTTTTTGTAATTTTAAAGTGTTTTGTTTTAGATTGTCATTATTTAAACTTGTCGTTACTTAAGCGTGTTGTCATTTGAGCTTTTCGTAATTTTAGAGTGCTGTCTTTTTAGACTGTCATTATTTAAGCTTGTTATTATTTAAACTTGTCGTCATTATTTTAAATTATTTTAGCTTCTTGTCATTTAAGCTTGACATTATTTATGCTTGTCGTCATTTAGGATGTCCTCATTTTATCTTGTTTACATTTTAACTATTTGTCATTTTAGATTGTCATCATTTAGGATGTCTTGATTTTATCTTGTTGACATTTTAACTTTTTGTCATTTTAGCTTGTAGTAATTTTAGCGTGTTGTCTTTTTAGGTTGTCATTATTAAAGCTTTTCTTTATTTAACCTCTTCGTCATTGATGTCTCATTTTATGTCATTTTAGCTTGTCATTATTCAAGCTTGTCGCCATTTAGGATGTCGCATTTTATCTTCTTTACATTTCAACTTTTTATTTTAGCTTGTTGAAATTTTAGATTGTCATTAATTTTGCAAAAAATAAGGATTATATTTATTTCATAAAAATTACCATTTCAGGAAAATGTTTGTGTAATTTTTAAAGTTATCTGATTTTTTTAATATCTAAAAAACACTTGTTCCTAATGTTTTTCGCAACTCGCTTCTTTTTCTTATTTTTGCCTTAGAATCTATAAATTTAACGCCATACCAGGCTAATTTAAATATTAAACAAGTATTTTTTTTTATTTTAAATATATGAATATTATGTATTTAAAATAGCCTCTCCCGTGGTATGGCGTTAGTGCGCCTATTTCAGGACACCTTGTATAAAAATATACCAAAACCTAAACTGAAAATTTAGGGTGTTATAACAAAATCTTGAAAAATATAGAAAAATGTTTATTATTTTACAAATCTTCTCACCCAAATAAAAAGGAAAGTGCCCATCAGCTGTCAATGGTGGCGAAGCCATGGGCGGGTCTATCCTGACTTGACACTGTTCCAAGACCACCACACCCAACGGTTCCGACCATGGATCCTTGTTTTTGAAGTAAAACAAAAGGTTTCCCCTCAAACGACACCATCTTTCCAAACTTACTAAAAAAATAAACCAATCAGAAAAATTTGTAAGCATTTTTTTATTTATTTCCATGCATTTTAAAAGCTAAGCTACACTATGTATAACGACAAAACATCGAACAAAGAATCAAAACATCCAGTTATTCGATTAAAATAACTTATTTGAATCATTGTGATGTCCACATTTTTTCGGCATTTTAATTTATTTTTTCGCCGTAACGAATCGCACATTTCAGCCGTTTAACCGCACAGTTTTTCTAGGCCAGAATCGTAAAATTGAATTAAACTGACGCGAAAAGAATTTATTTCCGGATAAACAGCACGAGAAATTTAGGACTCTAAAATTCAATTACTTAAAATAAACATTAAAAAAACATAATTTAACAATAATTACAACAAATCATGCACAAATTACAAACAAAAAGCATGCCCATAATGAATAAAGTTAATTTGCATAAATAATTCAGTAATTTCACCATTGAGTACACCAATCCCCTTTTTATTTAAATCAGTTATGTCAGAAATGTTTCTATTAAAATAACAGTACATTTAGTAAATTTAATTGATTTTCAAGTAATATTTTGTCATACAAATAAAAAATCCTGTGTAATTATACAAACAAGTCTGTTATCATAAAACAAAGATTTTCACATGATTTTATTTACACAAGAAAGGTGTGTATTTTTTGTTTTCGACTATTTATTATTCAGCGCTAAATACTATGAAATTAATGCTAATTTACATTCAAAAAAAATGTTCAATTACAATGCGATTTGATGTAACTCAAAAGCAAAGTAGAGTATTGTCTTGTTTGACTTATTTTACGAGTTCAAGGTGAAAAGCATTACATAATAGTTAATTGTTTTTCTAGGATCTATAGTAAAATAACTGGTTTGTAACAATTGTAGATATAATAATAATAATAATAATTACAAAGGGAGAGTATACGAAACCTGAATAAGGTAAAGTAGACAGTTATCGGACCCTTTATAGTTATAAACAGTAAAATGGCCAGTGTCCAATTACTGGTTGGTAAAAAATGTAAATTTCTATTATTGGACATACGTCCAATATCATACTGTATTTATATCCCGGGCATTTACCAGCCAATTCTTATGTAAAATTGTCCCCTGAATCCGAAAAGACCGTCAAAAACTATAAAGTTATGCAGTTTTTGAGCTATAGTCAATTCCATATTATATGTAAAATTGATTATATTTTAAAAACTGTTCTACTTTTATAACTTTTGACGAATAATATTTCAAAGGAATTGACTGCTAAATGTCCTGGATACAAATTGCTGTTGACGAGAATTATTAGTGGCTGCTTTTTCGCTATGACATTTTTGACTAATTTATTTCATCTTGCAGAATAACAGTGATTTAAATACAGTGCATGATAGAAAACAAAAAACTAATGTCAACAAAATTAAAACTATTTCAGAAGTCAGGCCAAGGAATTAGTAGTTACCTTCAGAATCCAGAAAAGGGATGAGGAATCCGAAAAAGAAATATATGAATTATATGATATTTACAAAAACGAAATAAAAAATTACCTAAAACAGCAATTTGTCTTTAAAAAATATTTAACATTTATGTTATTTGATGTAAAGTTGTTATGTTTATATAAAAATTGTACGTCCAATAACTATGGTCCATCCTTATCCATTTTATTAAACGTAACATTTGTATGCAGTTTGTTTTATTTCCAATATAAAATTTATGTTTCTCATAAAGGTGAACAAACAAGGTATGAGACACCCCGGAAAATTCTTTGATAAAAAACATCGTAAATATATTTAAAATGACTACTAAATTATACCAGTCAACAATATTTATTATTAATATAGCCTGGGTCATGAATGTTTTAAATTTTATTTTTTTGATATTATGTTTCAAAACAATATATTATTTTGTGATTATATAAACATCAACATTTGATTTAAGCACTAGAAGCCAAAATGACACGCGTGGTTGATTAAAGTTCCATTGAAGTTGAATTTTGAACTAAATAGATAGTTTAAAAACATTACCTAACATAAAAACTAATAATTAATGCAGTCCCACAAAGTGGCGCCCACTACTGGCGAATTACCCGCGCAACGACATTGTATTAAATTAATGAAACATTTCTGTACAAAACTTTTTTTTCCATTAGCATATAAGCGTGTTAGTAAAATTTAAAACTTTTATTAGTTGGTTGGTTGGGTGTTAGATTTGTTTATCTCTCAATCCATCTCAGCGTAAAAAAATAATTATTATAATGGAGTCAGCCCACATACAAATACTAATTGTTATATCCAAAATTATAATGGTTTTATAATTAGTAACATATGTACCTAATATAAATTGATAAAATTAAAAACGTATACTGAGATGAATTGTGATTTTTTTGTGCTTGTTTTTGTTGGTGTACCTTTGTTGACAGCCCCCACACAGCTTAGATTCCTTAGCCTTTTCTCTTTTTTGAAATTTTTGTTATCCTTTCCTGGAATTCAATGTTTTATAAAAATTCACCGAAAGATGGATTTTTATAGATTTTTACAATTTTTACACAAAAAAAATGTCGTCCAAGGATGGCGACAACTTCAATAACAGCCATCAAGAAATATACCAAATTTTTAAGTAGATAAATAATAAAAGAAATATTTACATTTGAATAATTCAAAGCATATTTTTTGGTATCTGCGTAATTTTTACAGTAAAAACCTCATTTAGATAGGCTTAACATCTAAAAAATGAAAATGAAAAATATTAAGATGATAAATGCATGCTGAAATTATATTAGACACGTTCATGCCCTTTCAATTTTTAATTACAAACATGCGCAACTATTGTAATTATTTACACTTTTGTGGTCCAATGAAATGACTAATTTTAAATGAATAATTTTTTAGATTTTTTCCTGTTTAATGCTTTTTTTAAAATGTGTTTCATTTTATGTGAAATCAGATTTTTTTGGTCCCCTCTTAAAATAAAAATAAGAAACATCAAAATTTTCTTCTAATTTCTTGAAAAAGGTTTCTAAACAATCTGGGAACAATATTGTTTTTATAATATCTTGAAAATATAAAATTGCATTTTTCATTAAAAAAATATATATGGGTAGGTATATAAATACAGTTTTGTATACAAAAACATATTTTACATGCATGTTGATATGCAATAAATCAACAAGAATTTGCTACAGGCAATTAAAGATTTAACACCTAATTATTTAAAAACAATTTTTTATGAAAAAATCAGGACTAATTTAAAAATTCATATTAAAAGTAACTGTATTAAGTTTATTACAGCTATTAAATTAAAACTCAATGTAATTAAGTTTTAATATTCATTCTAATTATTGCATCAATTTAGATATTAATTTATACAGACTGTTTCTGCTCAAAATTGGCAAAATAGAAGAGGTTGTAAAACCTCTTTATCTTTGTTGGTTTAAAATATCACAAAAATTGTGCTTAGATATTAAACTGACAATTCCAAAAAAAAAATATTTTTTAAAATACGACCATAAATAACGGAGATAAAAATGTTTATGCAAAAACAAAAGAAGATCAATAATTTAAAACAAAATCTCAAATAAATATTCATTTGAAAACAGTCTAGATTATTACATTGTCCATTTTAAGTATAAACACCCTGTATAAGTAGTATGATATACAGTATGTTCCCAGATTGAGTTGCAAAGAAAAAAATGTAATTTTCTCAAAAACAGTTGTAGATATTAAAAAGTTTTTGTTTTTTTGGGGTTTTCAAAAGTAAGAAAAATATACATTTTTTTAGAAAAAAAACAAAAAGTCCAATGTGTAATTTTCTCATGTTGTTTTTAAGGACTTAAAACAAAACAAGAATATTTTAATATTAATATTTTCTTCTGAGAAATCAAAAATAAATTATTTTTTACCCTTTGTATAAATTGTATACAAAGTTTAAACTTTTTTCAAATAACTTACCTTTTATATTTGTAAATGCCATTTTGATAAATTTTAGATACTTACTCTCAGATTTTCTGAAAAATCCTTCTTGTCTTTCCCGAATATAAAGAATCCCTTCCTTTTCAAATTTTGTCGAAGGTTGAGTAGCAAGTGCAATAAGTTCTTGTTTATTAAAACGCATTATTACTAAAGTTAGTCAAAGCTCGAAAACTCTAAAAACACACAAAAATATTGATTAAAACAAAGGAAATGGCATTAATTAAAAATGCATTACATGTGGGCATACTTATAAATAATAAATAAATTCCACTGCTAAGCTAAGCTACAATTAAAACCAACATTTACCTAGTTAAATATTAAAAAAATATTAAAATTCACTCATAAAAACAAAGATTCTGTAAATTAAAAATGGAATGGTGCATAATTTTTGTTGCTTAGTGTATTTAAATTTCGTTTGCACATTCATAAGCAATTGTTTATTAAAAATATAACATAAAAATCAGGGGGTGCTTTTATGGATAAATAAAACCCAAAATCTCCCGAAAAACTTAACCTCAACTTACATTAGATGTTTTTGTCATTTAATATACATTTCATCGAGTTGTTTTGGCATCTTTTAAGTCACATTCACCTCACACTTCAACACAATTCGGCTTTTATCACATTTTTGCAGTTTTGAAAGCTCCCAGGCAGTGTAACGTCAACATAATAAAATGTCAGTGGATATTTGCTTTTTTGAACGGTTTGTTTCCCAAATATAGGTCAGTCAGCGCCACCTTTCTACGAGTAGCGCAAGCTTTGACAGACTGCTGTAATTTATATTTTAAATATTTTAATTGTAGAATGTGCAAATATTTGTTATAAGGTGCAAATAACAATGAAAAATGTTTATATTTTACGTGTAAGATGAGTATTTTATATATTAACACCCTCCACCCCTCACAAATTACATTTTAATGATTTAATGACAAAGGTAAACTTTTTATTGTTAATTCGCTTATTATGTATCTATTTATTTGAAAACATGTTTTCATAAGCAGCTGCAGCTGTTAACGACGTGCCATTTCAAATTATTCAACAATGACGTTATACCTATCATTTGCATTTCTTACAGGTAAATAGGGGAGTAAATGCCAAATACATTAACATTATACCTCAATGAATTTCTTTCTTTGTATTGTGTGTAAATTTAAATTGGCTGAATAGGGTTTTTAAACATGTTTTTAGAGTTAAAATCACCTGGTTTTTAACTGTCATTTATTTTGGCAGATGACAGTTTTTTGACGTTTGACTTTGTCAATAAATCAAAGGCTACGCGATGAATATGTTAATGTTTGAGTTTGGGCTTTTTTTCTTATTTAATTAAATAAATTGTGTCATCGGATTTCGCTTTAGTTGGTAGTATGCAGCAGGATTTAAATCCTCGTTAATTATGTAGGTACTGTTTGTCATTTTCATCGGGACGGATTTAAAAGAGTTAAGTGCTTATATGCCTAAATAAAGGAATAAAAATAATCCATTTTTTCGATTCTAGCATTCTTTTCATTTGGCGTTTTATGTTGTTAATATTTTGTGTTGGTTGTTTTGCAAAGAGGGCTTTGAAATAACTAGAACATTTTGTTTGATTAAGAATGAAATTAATACGATTTTTGTTGTGATTTTATACCTACTTAATCAAGGCCTGATATGATTTTTGACCAAAAATAAAATACCCAGGTACAATACTTATAATGTTTCTATTATTGTGAATAAATAACAAAATAAATAATATGCAACAAAAAATCAATTAGATTTGGCTTATATAACGCAAGTAATATTAATTTACAGTTATCTATTTATAAATAATTCAGAATAACAAGTAACAAGAAAGTCTGCATAAAAGCTAAGAAAGAAATTAATTAAAATGTTTTGGAGGCAGGTTTTTTTATTGGATATTTTCTAGTAAAATAATAAGAAAAGCAACATGATCAGTAAAAATTACGTGAGTAAAAGGAAACTATAGTTAATTAGGAAAAATAAAGACACTTTTTGAAGAGTCTAATGAATTTGTTTCAATAATTATACATTTCTTACAGTTCACCTTGTTATCGTGGACACTTGATGCATCTGAAGGACCTGAAAAGACATAGGCGTGCGGAGAGAAATTTGGAAATAAAATATTCTTTATATCAGATTGCTATACAGAACACGTCCAAAATAAATCAATCATTTCACCAAAAATTCTTGGCTTTTCAATGAACATGACCATATGTATTTAATTTATTTACTAAAAAATTATTTTATTTTTATTTTTGGGAACGCCTTTGATCTTTAAGGAGTAAAAACGATCCCCAGGTGCTGAGATTGTATTTCTCCAATCAGCACTTGTTGGTCAATTTCGATTAAAATTATGTTATTACGTTACTTATGAAAATAGAAAAATATCCAGTTACAAGTTATTTTGCTTTAGAATCGTGAACACGCTCTTGTGATTAACTAAATGTTTTCTTTAGGCTTTAACACATTTGATTAGGTTTACTTAACTTATTTTAGAAAATGTCATCAATTATGAAAAATAAACGGATCAAAATTTGTATTAAAAAAACGACTTTTAAAACATAGAAAGATACATAAATAATTTTTCTAAGCGATCACAATGACATTATAAAGTAAATTCAGTAAACTTTTTATGAAAATATTATAATAAAAGGGAGAGAATTTTTAAACAGATGTGTCCCATTATATGAAAGACACTTTTTGCAGTTTTAAAAAGAATTTTACCATAAAAAATTTTGAAGAAGCCGTTATTAGAGTGTACTAAAAAATACTTTTTGTACTCCCACCTTTAAAACGCCATTTCCATGACACTTGATCAAAGATTGTGGCTGGGAGTGAACTAGATTTAAAGGATAAAGCAATTAAAAAAATATATTATATCTTTTACATGGATAAAAATAACAAAACAAGACTAACTAGACTGAAAAGATGAAGGAGGGTACTACATTTCCTGAAAGTTTCAGATTTTTATTTTTTCCTTAACATAATGATTTCTGAGGGCAAAATTGACTAATTTTAAGAATTATCAAGTTTCAATAATTTTTTTAATAGAGAAAATGATAGTCTAGAAACTTAAAAATAATAGTTACGTTTTCTATTGTATAAGTACTTGATACCTGAAAAAAAGCAACTTTCTAGATTTAGCAGAATAGGCACAGGAGCCAGACAAAAATCACAAAAATTGGCAAATTATAAATAAATAAATAAATAAATAAATATCTTTATTGACGGATTAACCATTAGATATAAACAAAAATAATCATTACAATTTTACATTAAAGACCTTTTGAAGGACTGGAGAGTATTGCCAAAGAAATCTACATTTAAAGTATTTGCATTTCTGCACATCCTATGTAATGGTGCATAATAACCATAGTTTGTATTGTGGTGACATATATAAAAAAGATTGTTATTTCTTAGTCTTAACTGAGGCACTTGAATCATGAATCTTTAGTGGTTTACCATTCTTTTATGAGATTAACTAATTGGATAATAATAATTTATATCGAAAACACACTTACTGGACAGTAAAACAAAATTAAAATCATTTCAATATTTGTCACAGAAAAAAGTTCTGGCCCACTATAAGAGAGTAAGAAATTGACACGATTTCAGATTTCTAAAGGGTGCCGATTAAAAGTAAAGAATCCAAAAATTAAAACGGCAACGGATTTTCATATTTGATACCTAAAAGATCATCCTCAATTTTTTTTATCAAAATAAAAAATCAAGCAGCGCACCCCTCTGGTGTTTTTAATAGAAGAAGTATATTACCTACAAATTTTATTTTTGTTTTTAATTTTAATATTTTGAAACTGATTAAGTATATAATTTTATATTGAAGAATAGATTCTTTATCATGATGGCTTGTTATACGGAAACTGTCAGAAAATACATCTATCAACCATGTTGATTTCAGATAGCTGGTAGATGGGTTATTTTCAAATTTCTCGTACATCTGTTGTCTTTCAACTTTAATATTTTATAAAAAAACGAGTTTAACGCCATTTGGAACTTTACTAAGCGAAATCAATTGGTTTAAGTTTTTTTAGCAACTGTATATATACAGTTGCTAAAAATATATATATAAGCAAAATTGTAAAATTTTAAATTTAAATTAATAAAAAAATTAAACTTTCCCCAACAGTACAGAAAAGTAGCTGTCCCATTACTTAAAGCTATTTAAACATTTTGAGTAAAATTGCATCCTCCTTTTTTTTAATAGTTGAAAATTGTGGTAATGGGGCATTCCACGTTACTCGGTAATTTTTGTCCCGCCCGTCACAATTAAAAATTGTGAGTAAAAACCACAAGTTATTAAATTAATATTTTATAATATTATTTTTATTGTGCTTATAACTTATTAAAAGCATAATAAACAATATTTTAAAATAAATTTTATACGTGTAGTTTTTACTCACAATTTTTAATTGTGACGGGCGGGACAAAAATCACCGAGTAACGTGGAATGACCCTAATATTAAAAATTACAAGTGGTTCTGCCCCTTGCGGCAATGTATTTGTTAACGGATTTTAGTAGGAAATGGTGTTTTAAACTATCTTGAAGCCACAACACGTTCTTTTGTATTTTTTATACCAGCGTGGAAAAACTGTGCATTCTCCTGTGTCACAGTAATAAAAAGTAGTAAAGGTACCAGTTGGACTTTGTTTGATTATCAAAAGTAAGTATCCTAGTAATGGTTTTAAGGGCAAAAATACATTTTTTTATCTTTAAAACAGTAAAGAGGTTTTGTTCAAAAATCATACATGTTTTCCCCTGGGTCACACGTCTCCTGGATCACATATTGTGTGACCCAGGGGACAATTCCAAGGAAATAAATTATAATATATTTTTAAAATAATAATAAACTTATAGGAAAGTTTTAAAAACATTTTTTTTCGACCTTCCCCTTTTTCTGTTTCTAACAGTACGTAACAAATTTAAAATAATGTCCTTCACCTTTGTAATAGTAATTTTCCTAGTCAATGTATTTTGCCTCAAAAAAGATGGAAATATTTTTTGGTAGTTTAACAAAACAATGTTTATATTGAATTTTATTATTATTTTATTAATATTACTAATAACTAAAACTTTTTATTAATTTATTGCTCGTTAAATTGGACAAGCTTAAGATAAAAAATCGAGAAAAAACGTTTTTAATACGAATTAAAAGAAAATTTCTTAAACTTTTTTGGACATTTTTTAAATACAGAAAATATATTAAATATACTTATGTATGTAAGAAAGTTGAGAAATAAAACATAGTTTTTGCTTTTACTTAGTTTTGTACTCAAAATTTTCAAAATGATTAAATATAATAAAAATACGTTTTTTTAATATGTTAGTAAATTTGTGACCCAGGGGACCATTTTTTCTTTTTTTAAGTGCTTATTTAAACACCTAAATAAACAAAATTTGAAAAAAAAAACAGGTTTGTAGATTAAGTTTTTGTTTATACATTTTCTTCTTTAAATGTACAAGAATTTTGAAAATGACCCAGATGACTTGTTTATTTTGTTCCAATGGCGTTGCCAAGTATTTTTTGATTTTGAAAATCCTGCTTGGATTGTAAAAATAATTTACTAAAAGTACTTTTATTTTTAAATAAAAATATTTTGATTAGGTTTTTTTATTTTCAAGTACCTACCTTTTTTGCAATATTTTAAATATGATTTTTTTTATAT